ACCCTCTGCACGAGGCTGGGGGCGGCAGGTGCCTGGCCAGCTACGGACGGCGCGGACTGAAAGCAGATGGGTAAACTTTAACAAGCGCTGTCCGTACCCCGGAACAAAATGGGCTCAAACAGCAGCGTTATCAAAGCCTTTTGGAGAGGGAGACCGATGCCGAGTTGCGCAAGAGGCTTACACGCAGAACTCTGTCCTTTTGCTGTCAGACTCCTGTATTTAGTCCTCGGGACAACGTTTGCGTAAAATGCTGAGGCAATGGGACCGACTGACACGCTGACAAGACTCGTACAGCCTGGACATTTGTCGAACACGACATGCGCTTAAGGCCTCTAACACTACTTAAGCAGCATCGTTTGTCTTCACAGCGGAAATATACCAGTTCTGTTACAGAGATACTGGAGGAAAGCACAAAACCAGCTAAAGTACGTTGTATGCACCTCGTTAGTACAGTACTAAGTGCAACCGATGATAGGAAAGTAAAACACATGAGAAAACAGATTGACTGGTCTGCCTGTCTGTTCCATCTCAACACCCATCCAACAAAATCAAAGCCATCCGCCTGGCCACCTGAATAAAACTAAATTATGGATTACATCATTTATAAGCTGCATTGATTTCTAGCAGGGTAGACATTAAAAAGAGGCATTTTAGTCCTTGCTATGGCTTACTGCTGTGGATTCGCCGGTGACAGTGGGAAACCTGAATGGGAACATTTATTACACACACTGAATTAAATGAAGTAAATCACAGTTATTTTGTCATCGTTAGAGTGGAGTACCATGGTGAGGCATCTACTTTTCATTAAGGAAGATGCTTCCTTCTCATTTTCAGCAGAAAAGGTCACTCTATAAAATGCACCATGAATTCTGCGTGTGTTGTGTCCCAGCCGTTTACTCAGCTCGCGTCTAAACCTCTCCTCCCCCACCCGACTGCCAGTAACCCAGCCTACCTCGGGATTCGAAAGTGAAGCTGTGTTTTTTTCTCATTCGTGCGTCACTGTTAATAATAAAACTTAGCATCTGGAATTTAGCAATTCTTTGAGTGACCTCCAAGCTAGGAGCTAATCCAAAGCAGTCTCCTATAGGTAGCTGGTGCTGGCTCCACCACACTGGGGAGATAAGAAGTGGTACAGCGTGTTTTGGTCAGCAGAGTAAGCAGTTTGTCATTCAGGACACCCACTGAGCAGCAGACTGAGACACAGCCATCTTCACCCAAACATCTCTCTTACAAAACCATGTACACTTTAAAGTGGCATTAGTGCACCACCTATATATATATATATGTGGTGGTTTAGGTGGTGCACTATGAAAATATTCGCCTTTTCAGCCCTGCTTTTCCCAAGAGGTGCTGAGAGTCTCCATCTCTCACCAATGCAGTGGAGGCAGAGCATGCTCAACACCCACGAGCCTGGGAGAAGGATGACTTTTGCTGTCTTCAGAGGCTTAACGTGCATGAGTTCCCCCCTCAGATCGGGGGGCTCCCGTCAAATTTGAGCATTTGGCAAATACTGGGCAGCACAGCCTGAAGGCTCCATGGGTTTCAGCAGGCTGAAACCTGCTGTCAGGTATACAGTTAATTTTCCACGCAACAGTAAAAACTGCATGCTGCACTACAGCAATGAGGCAGTCGTTTGTATGGCAGTATTTTAAACAATTATTTCAGAGCTGTTGAAGAGAGATGCGAGTCCTGTCTTCGGAGATGGATAGGAGGGTATCATTCCGTCTCCTCAGTAAGGCTGTTTTATGATGCGTGCGTCCAAATTACAAGCCCTCAGGAGCCAAACTGGTAATTAGCACATTTTACAGACTCAGGATGATCTAAAACATTTTCCTCTGCACAATAATGCCATGATTATAAACTCTAGTATCTAGTTCTTCTAACGTAAGCTGAAAAAGGCAGTATATGATTCCCAAAGCACAGGGTAACTTTGGGCGTTGCTTATGATTTCATGGTTTGTTTCACAGCTGTTTTGCAGTTTGCCCGTAAACAGCTAATGGCTAAATTCACATTTCAGTGTAACTCCATGATGCCGCAGCATAGCCCATAACTCGGCTGTGACTTCAGCTGATCCCCCACGGGGATCTCCACCTACGTATAAATGTTACATATATATCTCTCTGATACTTGCAGCCATGAACATTACATACATAAAATGGAACCTTTTTAAATACATTCTCAACATGCCAAAAATAGATTCTTTCATCAAGTTTCTGCCTTGCAATATCCATCTTTTGTTTACAATGTACATATATATTTATATTTATATATATAGGAACATGAAAATACCATATATAAATATTTACTTTAAATCCCTATATCTAAGTACATATGACAGCATCAGTGGAGCAGTTGCTAGGTACCGGAAGGTCCACGCATTCCAGATGCGGTTTCTTGTTTTGTTTTTTTTTTTTTTAAGCTGTGGAGATGAATTACTTGGTACATTTAAGCAGGACAGCGTGGGCTATTTATACCATCTGCAGACCACTCACCCCCTGCCCATCTGTATCTGTGCACAGCACGTGCATTCCTTCATACGGTATGTACTGTATTTAGTTTTACAGAGCAAATATTTTTGTAGCACAAGGGCAATATCTTACAGAGTGGAATGAAACCAACAGACAAAAGTAAACTCAACTAAAGTCTGCAGTGCCAAAAAAAAAAAAAAGTCTAATTGCTCCATGGTGCTTATCATTGCTCTGCAAGTTAGAAACAATGGTCCCAGGCTTGTGAAAATCAAGCTTTACATTGGTACTTTTTGTCAGTGTTTTCACTGTCAGTAGCAAGGTATAAGAGCCTTGGATTCCGCTACTATAAAGCCCTCCTCTCAAAAACACTACAAAAATAAATCTTGGGCACAATCTCAGAAGAGGTTTCTCTTCTCTGTCTCATACAGTACAACAGCCTGCTTACCCAACGAGGCTGCTGATCACAGTACATGGCTGCATATTTGCCCACACACCCCTACCCTGAGAATTTTGTAAAAAATTCTCTGTTCCTGCGGTCTCGCCCTGAACTGAAATAGGTTTTTCAAACAGAAATTTGCCAGTCTATAGCAACCGGCTGTTAGCTGTTTTCTGCTTTCAGATAGTAAAGTGCTCTTGTTTTAATTAGTTACTAGTTACCAGGGAACTCAACGGAGAAGGTACACTTTCTCTTCCTCCTCCCACTACTGCACTTCCCCAAGAGTTAAACATGAGATTCATCTAGATCGACGTCAGTCTCCCCAAGCTCCACGTGTGTGAAGCTGAAGTGAGTGGCCAGCAAGGGGTTCTCCATCCCATTGTCCTCACTGATGTGAAGGACAGTGTCCCCATGCTGCAGCAAGCTGGTGGTCTCGAGGCCAGCGTAGTCCTCGGTGTCAGAGAGCTGTGTGGGTGGGGTGCTTTGTGCTGTTGTTGGCCGGGACTCCAAGCCCTCCTCTTTTTCCTTTTCCTTCTCAGCAGACAGTGCCTCGCTCTGCAATTGAGGAGAGCCAGTGGTCAGGCTCAGAGAAAGCGGGAGGGAGAGGGGGGGAAAAAGCAAGGGAACATCTAGAAAATATTTTCTCATTTGGAAATACTTTTTACCATAAAGGGCCAGGCACTTGCAGATTATAAATCCCTAAAATTTAGCCCTAACAATGATATATTTTTGCTGGTGAATCAAATTTGTAGCAATGATCAGAAAGGTTATCTGATTTTAGTCATTAACACTTCCTCGTTTAATTTGTTTTAGTGTATTCTCAAGACGGATGTCTTTCATTTGTTCATGGCAAAGGACGTAAGCCCCAAAAGACACTAGATACCTGGGCATATGAAAGTGATCTCAATGACACTGACGTGTTGCAGGGACAACTGTGATTGTCCCTGCACTGTCCTCAGTGGTGTCCAACACAGAAAAATGTTGGACAAGCAGTTTCTTTTGAAGTGTGATGCTTTTGCTAAAACACTCCTGAGGTTTTGAAGGAGTCCTTCCTTAAGGACGCATTTCTCAGAGAGCAAGCTGTAAAAACCTGTTGATGAAAACTTGCACTGGTGAGCTGGTCCAGGACTACAATATGTGACGGGAAGACGGAAAGCGAAGATGCAGGAAATATATTTGCAAATTAAGAATCATTGCACAGATCTAGAAGTGAATGGTTTACAAAAGTAGGGGGTTGGACAGCAAACTCAGCCTAAAGAACAGACACACAGAAGAGTTTGCTGGTTTCAGTCACCCGCCAGCTTTCGTTGTAGTGCTGTAATGCATCAGGCATTTCCCTATAAATTTGCCCTGCAACTGTGATGAAGCAGCGGACAGACACACATGATAAAACCGCCAATCACGTTACCTGGCCAGTGGTCTGGCTATGGAGATCAGCTACAATGATGGCAGGTGAGGAAGTCAGCACAGGTTTACTTAGCGGTTCCTGCTTGCTGGTCGCCTGGGGGCTGCTGTGGCTGCAGCCCTGCTGCTGGGCTGCTGGAGCCGACGGGTCCCCTGGGGAGGCTGTTGTTGCCTCAGGCTGGGCTTCAGTGAAAGTCACTGACCGCTTCTGCTCCGCTGAAGGGTACAAAGCCCAGAAAAATTAGTATTAAAATGCTACAAATTGGGAAGGAAAACACAACAAGAGAAGAAGATAGAGAATCCCTGGAGTTTTTATAACTAAGACAGGATTCATGATTCATTCCATCTTTATAAGCTGTCTAATTGGAGTCTAATCTAAAAGCCTTTTACCCCAGGCTTCCTCTAAAGCCACAGTAAGAGTCAGGGATCTCCTGAAGACTAGTCACCCTACCTATCTTTGTCATGGCTTGGCGAGATAAATGCCACCCATAACATCTTTCCATCCCAGAAGAATATACTGAATTGAATTCCCATGTGAGTTAGGCATTTCTGCCCTCAGCTGAAAAAGGAGAACTGAGATGCAAATATACAAGGGAATCGCCCAAGGTTTTGACAGGGGATCTGAGAAAAGAAAGAGGGCAGCTGATTGCCCCCCATTCCTGCAGACTGAGTCCACTATCAGGGAATAACAGAACAGCACAGGGTGAAGACAGCTAGACTAAAACTTAACAGTAAAACTGGTATCCCTCCTCCTGCTCTTAATTATTTTGGGTCAACTTTTGTGTTTCAAACATCTCCAGCAGTGCTGTTGCCCTAGCACAGTCCTGGCTGGGTGTTTAGAAACCCAGAAAGTTCGCAAGCAACCTTTGCTCTTCCAGGTGTTTCCTGCAAAGTTAACTGCTCACTTCAGATGGTACAGAATAAAGCCACCTGCTCTGCTTGGCAGTGCTGACTCCTGGAAACATACAGCATGGACTAGAACAGTCCTATATTCATTTCCATATACAACCCTTAAAGCTCTGCACTGCTAAGCTTACAAATGATGGGAAATTTCCTTCTTTCTACTACTCTCAATAGCAGCTTCAAAATTTGCACGTCTGGAGGTTTTGCATGAGGCATCCTGAATAGAGGACACCTGTCCCCTAAATTCTCCACACCTCCAGGAGACATGATAATTCACTGTCCATGTCCAGTTTGACCTTGAAAGCCTTTGGAGAAACCGTCAAAGCGTTTTGAGGGGGTGATTTTCTGATAGGATATCTGCTTACTAGGAAAAAAGAATAAAACTGCTGGGACTTCACTTTAATACAGGCTACTAACAACATACTAACTTTTCCTTTAAGCTAAAACAACAACATAGTATTTTCTACTTTCAAGTATGAAGTGCTGGTTCTGGAAATGCAGCACTGCCCTACCGCTAGGTTTTGGTTTTGGCTGGATGCTCCGCCGCGTGGTTGAAAGTCTAGCTCCATGACGGCTACGAGGTTCGGTTTGAGTTTTCTGACGTGACAGCAGTGGTCGTCGAAGCTGAACGTTGGAAGAAAGAGTTAGGCTTATGTATGTTCACATATTACACAACTTCTCCTCTGTCAGGAGAACAGATCGTCATTGTCTATTCCTCTAGATGTCCATTCACTCTACTTTTAGCAGATACATGTTTTAAGGTTTCCATGGCTCAGACATCGCCTTCGTACAAACCTCTGGGTTTTGTGCCTTTTCAGTTTCAATACTGAATGTAGTGCAATGCAGATTCTGTGATCATCGTTTAATTTAAAAAGAAAAAAAAAAGCCTGCAGAGGAAAAGATCGGGGAATTCAAAACAAAGTGCACCTCCTCTCTTAGGGATTTGTCAGGCCTCACAGCTATGACTTGTGCTAGGGTTCCTGCTAACTCAACAGACTGCACTAGTATATTACAAATTAGGTAATAGGGACATGTCACGTCCACAAATCATTTCAAAACAGACACAGATGAGAAAAACCAAACCAACTCAAACAGAAGGAGAGAAGGTTTGTTCAATCCCCGTGTTCTCACCTGCCGTAGGCCTCTCTTCCGCCCCAGGGGCTGCTGCAGAAGAAGGTTCTGCTGTCCTGGCTCGCTCTGCACGCTTGCCACCCTGTTAGATGTTGACAGCATTAGGCCAAGCACAGAAGAACCCTGTATAACTAGTAGGTGCCCTGGCAATTGTGACTAAAATAAATAAATAAATAAATAAATCAGCCAACCACTAATGGCACAGTCACTTCAAAGAGCAATACTGTCTTTGAAGGATGGGGAGGACGTGTCTGTTGGGTTGTGGCTTCCGGGGCTTAGGAAAGGGTGGGAGGTGGAGTCATGGCATTCAGGACTTGGCCACGCACAGGTAGCATCCAAATATAAATAACTGCAGATTTCAGTTTTCAGTCATTGATTGATGCATCCCACTGAGCATCGCTCACTTCTCTGCATCCTTTGCCACATCAATAAAGGCAAGAATATCAGCTTCCTAGCTCAAAAGCCGCCTTGTTTGCTTTTACTTTTTCAAGGGCACTGTTGTAAAAGCTATTTTTTTTCCTCCCATATAGATTCCACAGCCTCAACACAATTTTGTCATCTGGTTTTAATTTCAATTTAAGTCAACAAACAAAAAACAAACACAAAATGACAAAGGATCCATTCACGTAATGGATGCATGAGTTATGTGAACAAGGCCCCACACTCAACACTTGCAGCCTTAAGTCTTTTTGTGGCTAACAAACAAAAAAGACAAGTAAACATAATTTTTTTATATATATATATATTTAAACACAGCTTTTTAGTTTTTAATATCTTGGCACAAAATATCTGAAAATCTGCAGTAAAAGAATCTTTAGCAATAAAACATACTCGGCTACATACCATCTCAGTCTACCATTCAGCTGACCATTTAATCTACTTAATATAAAAATACCTCCCTCCCCTCATTTTTATCAAAGCACTGTATTCCTCCAAACAGTTAAAAACTTGTCATTTAGCAGACAGTGGTCACAAAACATTTTAGCTGAATGAACTATGTCTGAGAGACATATGGTTACAATAGCAACTAACATTTAAGATGGACTTCTTTTAAATCAGGCAGCTGCTTATTTGGGACAGACTGGAATCCACTGAGCCACACGTCCTATTTAAGCAACTTCCAGCTATATCTGGTATGCATTGTTGAAGATTCAGTATTACAATCCATTTTGCCTTTGGCCTGCATTAATCTAAAGGAAAACAACATTCATTTCTCTAGATGTTTTCCTTGGATCTCCCTGGAGGAGCTCAGTACCACCAACAGAGTGAAGGTTTATCACCTGACCTTACAGGAGCGGAGGAAGAAGACAAACCTAAGGACGTGGTCAAACAAGACATGGAGGATGTCTGTGGAGAGGCTTAAAAAGTTCTGTCTCCTGAACAGCTCATTATTCGCTTTGGTAGAAGTTACTGCCCTTAAGAAGGTTTGGTGGAACAGAACATGAGAGCATCCTGGTCTGCTTTGGGTCAAAGTCAGGTTACCTGATCTGAAAGTCCTATTCCTTCCTCCCTTATCAGTTTAAACTAAAGCCAGACTTTGCACTAACCCATACGTGTGTGTTTCTACCAGCTCTGCTGGGGAGACGATGGGCAACTTCAAGGAGAGAGACATCTTAAGACCCTGAAGCTGTTTCTCTTCTGATTGTCTGACCACAGCCTAATAATCCTAGGCATGCCCTCGGCAATCTCACCACAGCTGCAGTGGTTTGGAAAAAAAGGAAAAGCTTCTGCAAGCTCAAAGCCAGAATAAACAAGATATATTTGAGTGCTTTTCTCCCTCAGACAGCTCTTCCAAATGAGATCACCAGTCTCCGGAACATATTTTCCAGCTTTTACATAGGGTATTGACATGATTTACATACCAAGCATCCTAAACATCATGCAAACACCCGCCTACGAATAAGCAGAATCCTCAGAGTTACTTCCTGTTAGTAGGACTGTGTTCTTGACCCAGACAATGACTGCAGCATGTATGACTGGTAGGTCCAGAAGCAACACATCATGCCTTATTAAAGCAAAGAGACTGCGCTTAAATTAGTCTTTAGATTTGTGATCCAGACTACCTGAAATTACAGCTTGTAGAATTTTCTTAATCTTCTGTTTCTAGGATTACGTAAAAACTTATTCCTCTGAATTTTAAGATGGTTTTAGAGTAGTTACGAGTATGTGAATTAAGTAGGAATTAGCTGGAGAAGATCTTGAAAAAATAATTTTCTATTGGACTAGCTTTTGAGAATACTGTTACAATTTCTGATGAAGGAACAGTAACTCTTAGTTCTATGAGTGAGGAGACATAAATGTCTGTAGCAGAAAGACTACGATTATAATCAGTACAAAACACTGTTTATAGTAGTGAAACAAACTCATTTCACATGCATCATGAAAACACTGAAAAAGTCATTAGATAAAGGGAGTACATGGACCACATGAGGGCACAGAGGCTATACATGAGGAAAAAAACAATTCCCATGGAGTAATCTGTGCACTGAAGACAAACAATAGGTGAGCAAAAGAAAGGCTGGACTTTGTGTCTTCCTGCTGGAGTCTGGGATTTTCAGCCTGGCTTATATCATAAGTGAAAGGACTTTAGGGAGCTGGTGGATGTTTATTTCCAGTACTGAATCATTACACAAATTGGTATAATTTGGGATGATCTTATGAGCTGAAATTGCAGATATGTATTGCAGGCAAATGGTGGACCAGAGAGAAGCCAAGTTTTGCAGAGCTGCCTGCAGACAGCACAGTCCTGCTGTGGCTGTCATTTTGCCTTCTATCCCCAAATTTTGAAGACGGGAAGGAAAGAGAGAGAGAACCGTAAAGACCGCAAATTTCAGATGAGTGACTGACTTTTCAGATATAACCTTTCACTTCATGAGGGTTTGTGAGGGTTTCTTTTCACATCAAAGAAGAGCACTACTGATCTTGTTTCCATGAAAATTAGTGTGGCAGGCAGACTGTTGGCTCTGTGTAGTCCTCCCTCCCTCTTTTTCTGTCTCTCCTTGTTTACCAAACCTGACCAGTAGTATACTGTTTTTCCGGCAGCCCGTGGGACCCAAACAAGGAACGCTGAATCAAACGCCATTTCAGCTGACAGCACATTTCCCTCCTGTGGCAATGATGTGATCAACAAGAAGGGGTTTTCTGCAGTACATAAACCAGATTTATTTGGGAATAACAAAACAGATTTTTTCCCTGCCCATCACAAAGATACTCTGTCACTCTCTGAGTATCTCTGTCAGGGGGTTTATCTTCACAGTAATGTTACTCCCATTACATAGTTAGGGCAGAGACAGGTGAGCAAAAGATCAGACAAACCCAGCTTCATGGAAGCATGTTGCCAGCACTACAAGAAATGACAGCCAGTGCAGTCACACAGTGGGGGCTAAAAGAAAGTTTATCAGGTTGGCAATTATAATAAGTGATGTTCATGAATTGAACATGAAACCATGTAGCCAAAAAAAGAAAGAAAGAAAGAAAAAGGAAGAAAACAAACAGAGACAAAGGAAGCAAGGAGTTTAAATATCTATTAAGAAGGCGTACATGCTTGCCACGCCATTATGGGAGAATGTACACACTTTGTATCCGAAGACATCTGAATGAGAGGGTTAGTGGACAAAGGCCAGTGGAGAATGGGTTAAAACGTAGATGAACTCCAGCTCTTGTATTCCCAGACACATCCTAGCCCAGCTAGTGTTAGATCTGCTACGCTTGCCCTGGCAATGTGAGTTCACTCTGATTTTCCCTATTAGGCACCATTAAGCTAAGACAGGCATAATGAGAAACATTAAAGGGAAATGTGTTTGTGCAACAGTTTTCCATTACAGTGACTTCTCATTCTTCTTCCTTTCTGATTTGGGAAAATATCCTCTCCTCTCAGATTATAACCACAACAGATCATGATGCTGGACACATATGCTCCTCAGCCCTGTACCCCATGCTATCTGTTTACTTCTGAGCACTTAAATGCTATCCCCTTCCTGCCTTCCCTGCTTTTCTACACGGCTGGCTCTAATTGCTATAGAACAAAGGGAAACAGACTTTATGCTTTTTTGTGTTTGTCACTATTTATTTAATTTATTTAAACCTCCAACCTTCCATAAGGGTCTAGTCTCCACATGATTTATTTCTTTATGTCAGTTATGACTAAACATCAACTTTTGAATTCAGAAGGCAATCCTAAACAGTTGTTATCATTGTGCTCCAGCCAAAATCAAAGTTATGTAAGAAAAACTGAAGCCTGCTTTATTCAAAACTAATGTTCCTGAATATAAAAACACATTTATTCTGTCCTATGATCCCCACAGCACAATAAACTCCTACAACATCTGCTTTATTACTTCTGTCCTTTAGGGGAGGAATCCAATTTGCACATTTAACAACGCAGTTGAAACATCTTTTCTTCCTTACAGGACTGTAACCTAGCCTTTTTATAAGAATTTGCAGTATTTCCCTGTCTTCATTCTTTCTAAGGCTTTGCAGCCCTGATGCCCCTCCTTTCAGATGTTAGTGCCCACTCCTTGAAAAAAATAGTAAACGTCAACAGAACTGAATCCCAAATACATCTGTTAACTTCTTTGCCTAAGGAAATCTCTGTACCATAGAGCAGAGTGGAGGATACAGTGTCCTGGTCCCTTGCAAATACTGGTGTGACAGAAATTAGTAGGAATCCACTGTACAGCTGATTACATTGCAGGGTTCAGAGTAAATTATTGCATTTGAGCTCATCTGTTGACTTTGCTGTCTCATATTCCTCAGCCTCACCACCGTGGTTAGGAGTGACTCCCCCCCACTTAACAAGATCAAAACATTTCAAATTCAACACTGATGTAACCTGGTATCAGGTCATTATGGCTTTAACTCAGATACGGACCTTCTCCTTCCTCATCCTCCTCAACTGTAGTGAGTTTTTAGCTCTACTTAAGGGACGGCACTTAACTGCTTTGGTTGAATGACTTCTGTTCTCTTTAGGCCCCAAAACATGCTCAGATGACCATGCCATCCATTTTACTTTATCACAAAACCAGATAACAATATTCCTGCCTCTGCCCACAAGCCAATGTCTTTTCCTAACGCCACTCCTACAGTAGCACCAATTAGAAACCAATCTGTCAAAGCAGGATTCACACACACAAAGGACACCATGAATCATGGGATGATCTCAGTGACACCACCAATGATGAACTCTCCATTTGTCAGCTGAGAAGAATGAACAAATGAACAAAACAGCCTGTCCCCACCCCGAAAAGCCACTACTGACATCTAAAACCCAGCTAACAAAATAAAAACCATTCACACAAACGCCTCTCAACATATCCGCATCTTCAGCTGGTGTAGTAAAGTGATGAAATAGTGTGTTACCCTCCGTGTTGCCAACGTAAGGGGCCATGTTCTTCTGGAAGGAAACAGAGATGCTCTTGGAACTAACGGCAGCTCTCCGACCTCACGAGGATGGGTTGAGAGGTGCAAGCACAGCAGCAGGACAGTAAGGATGATTAACACGACTGAGCTGGCTGTTAAAGGTGCAGACCTCCCTTCTGAGCTCACTCCTGACCCATTTGACAGGCATGGCCATAACAGTGTTTGCACACAAACTCCCCTGTCCATGGGTAATGGGGAACAGCTAGACCTGAACTCCAGCACTGATGGGGGAATTTTAAATACGTATTAATGGTGTTCACCTGCAAGCTTTCTAAAGCTGTCATTTGAGAATTGGAAACACTTTGTAAAAATAATGAGAATTACTGTAAAGCATCCAGAGAGAACTATATTCCACAGGACTTTTCATAATTAGTTTTATTAGTGAATGTTAAAGAACACAGCTTGATATTGTTCTTAAGTCTTTTGTGGTGACAGCACTGTGAGATGAATGGAAAAACAGATGTCTGTTTTATATAAGCCTCCAGACTAATGCTTATAACAGGCTACAGCTTATGCCTCATGGATAATCTTTCGTATGCCTTTCAAGCAATTGCTAAACAAGGGGAAAACCCTGAGGCTAGCCAGCCAGACTGCTATTTCACTTGCTACAGCTTTTTCTTTCCCCTTCCCCTTAGCCTCCTCAAAGTTATTGGCAATCAAAGCTGAAAACTGAAGGTGGGTTGCTACACCTTTGACTTGCAGGCCTGAATATCAATGAGCCACAAGAGACAGAGATGGAAAGAGCGACAAAAGGTGAGGGGAAGAGACAGCGAAGATTGGAAACGGCTCGTTTCCCAGCACACACACTGACAGACAGGTAGTGTTTACACTGTACCTAGAGAGGCTGCCCTCAGTGGCCAGGCTCGGGGAGTCATCGAGGACATTAGGTTCACTGCAGGAGGGGCAGGGAGATTAAG